AAGTGGGGCTAGTTTCCAACTTGTGTGTTCACCAATTTCACGGTGATCAATTTGGGTGTTTGTGAAGCACAGTATGACAACACACATGGTCACATGAAAATCTCACTTCAGTTTTTCTTTCTCACTGTGTTCCGGCAATAAAAAAATCAGAGAAATATTTCGTATTATTTCAACACTTTAGCCAGGTGTTTAGCGCAATTTCATGATAAATTTGGCACTGTTTGATTGCAACCGGAAACAACCACGGGCTAACGGATAAAAAGACGGCAGATCAATCTTCTTGTGTGGTTAAGTTACCGCATCGAAGCATCTTTCACTCTACAAATATAAAAAAGTCCAGGTTTTTTAGTATTTATTAGGTCAGGTCTACAGTTGACCAAAGGGTGCATCCGTAATTTATTCTTGACACCGTTGCTCCAAACACGAAGTGGCCAGCGGCATATGGCGATTTCTTGTGTGTCACTTGAAGCACGGATAACCCCGAAGATAACCTCGTTTTCTTTAATCCATCTCCAAAATTATTTTGCGGCCCATGTTAGCGCTTTCAAAACCATTTGATTAACGTCTAATAAGCTGAAAACCAGCTCCTGATGCATAGTCTAGTTAAAATTCGATATGTTATTTTGGTGATGTAGCAAGGTCTATCTGGACACCAAACATCCTTCCCACTTGTGGTGTGCTGCAACAGTCTCAAACTGGTATGAAAGGTGAGATCTTCGCAGCCACGCACATTTTGAGTGAATCAGTTACGTAGTTTTCACCTGATTGTGCGTAATATATGATGTTGCTGATGATATTATTAGCGGCAGTCTGGTCAAATACGATGATAAGCACGGTTACATTACTATCAACCACAACACACATGTTAACTTACCAAAAAACAACTTTCAGACCACGATCTTTTCTAGGTGCAGTTTTTCACAGCCGATGTTTTTTTGGCCATGTTATGCTCGATTTTCATGTCGAAAAGCTGCTGGTTGGTCCGAGAATATCGCCACGGAAGTGGATGTAACTTGAAAGCTCACTTTATCCCATAGTTCCTAACCCGCAAAAGACATGAGTGGCGTTTGTGCTGTTTCGTAGATGATCCACGTCTGAATGAATGTGGTTTACTAAGTCTCAGCCAAGTGGATGCAATCATGCTAAGATTGCTGAAGTTTGGATTGCAGCAGTGCCACTGCGGCTGCTAGAGAAGAAATGTTCTTACAGGTAACTTCAACACAGGAGCTCTACGATTAATTCGATAGCCTGGTTATAACTTAGCACCGGCAGCCCCCATCGTTCCTCTGCTTTCGGCAAGCCTGCCTTAATTTCACCCTGAGGCAGCGGAAATTCCTAATCTTTCACAGTCTCAAGAAGCGCATCATAGCATACCCAAGAATGAGTTCCTTAATTCTCAACAGACAGGCTGCCTATCCGATCGTTATGGAAGACAGAACTCAGTCACACAGCCTCACTAATCGGTGTCAGCTTTCAACTTTACTTTTGTAGAGTGCATACCTAGTGAATCATCCACAGTGCATGTAATTACAGAGCAAAGATAGGCGAATATGTGTGAGATGGCAGGTGGACCATCCACTGAGAAAACACAAAAATTATTGTGAGATTGGATTAAACACACTATCAGAATGGTCACATACTAGAAAAGACGTATTCTCAGTGACATACTTCTTGATCGATCTAGTGGGAAGCACATATTTTAATTTCGGCACAATTGCTTATCCGCGGCCTACACAACCAATGGTACATATCATGTGACGCATGATGTCATTAAGGATGTATTTTACAGCGTACTGTTGTATTTATTTTAGGACGCCACGGAAGGTGAGCGAAATACCACCGCTAACATAAACATTCAGACATAGGACGCCATCCATCGACGTTCGTTTTTGTGTGCTGACTAACTAATGGAACCTTCAAAGACCGGGCGTTTAGCTGCTGAAGACTGCTGGGAACTCCTGGTTGAATTCAACTTCATCCATCCATTTCAAACCTAAACTTACAAAATTTCTCTGAATAGAATAAGGTTAAACTACGCTAGAACGCTGTTATGATCCGGGGCATTATGTAAAGATGGTGAAAAGTATACGTGCTTATCTTTCAGAAACCCGGGCATTCAGACAGGTTTTTGTGAGCAGCTTCCGAAACGTAAATTGCAGGCTTTGTTAAGCAACTCACGGTTAGAAGATACGAAGTTTTAATGCAATAATTTGCTACATAGCCAGTCATTTGGGTCTGCATCACAAATTTCATAAATTAGTCGCCATCAAAAAGTGCAACACGATAAGAGAAATGTCATTCGTTATTAAGGGGCTAGGCCGTTGGCTTTGTCCTGAAACCGCAATGGTGAGTGGGGTTAAGAGGATGACAGAAGAATGGAATGGAGGTCAACACGGAAATGAGGATTCACTGAGAGGTTGTGTTAAATTAGTTTCAAATCACTAGGTTATGGCAGTAACACTGCAAATACTTGATTAATTATCAGTTGAGCTTCAAACTACTTCAGTTTATGAAACACAAACAAAACTACCCCTGCTACTGACAACTATCTTTGAGTCTTCATGGGTATCTTATGAGCCCTTTGCTACCCTAATAATTTAGCCAATTTAACCTCATTTCGGTCATTAAATAAGTTGAAACGGATTTAGTTCTGGTCATCCAGAACAAAGCAAAACACGAAGATGTGTAGTCTCTTTGTTAAGTAGTGCAACTTGTATTATGATTTAATAATGAATTCCCAAATAGATGGAGCTGGTTATCTCTTGCCAGAAAGAGAAATAAATTGTACACGTTTACGAAGCGATTTAGAGCGAGAGGAAAGTTGTCCACGCGGACACTGCACGCGGATGTTTTCAACTGCTGCGACCAGAAACACCAAGGAACAGTTGAAGGCATGGTTGCCAACACGAGATTGTTGACCCAAAGAGACCCACCTGTCCTGAACAGGAAAGGGTTTTGTATATTTTCTGAACCGAGGCTGTTTGGCAGATTAGTACTGGGTGAATATTCAACGGAAACGGCTGCATGCTGTGAAACCTTATAGGGGAGGACTCGAAAAGTTTTCATAGTCGTGGTTACTTATTTTAGGCCTAATCTCCAACTGAGAACTTTTCCCAAGATGGAACAATTCGTTTGTCTCGAAACAGTTTGAAAGGCAAAAACGGCCAGCGGGGAACTTGATTGTGCAAAAATTGTTACTAAACTGGTAACAGTGACTAAATTGTTGTACAAAAATGGTGAATTTTTGTGGAGCAGCCTTCAACAGGATACTATATGCTAACCTACTTGTGGCCTGGGCGAACTGTAGTGATGTGAATTACTTCCCTTATTTGGGTTGACAACCGGGGTGATAAGTTACAAGCGAGTTGAGCATTGTATGTCTGGCACGGCGATATTTTCCGACATGTAGAGACTCGCTCATTAGAACAACGACGGTGTCTGATTGATCAGTGATAAAACTTTCGTGAGCTCAGAGAAAAAATGTCCAGCCACTTTCTGTGAAAAAAATGAACGGCTGTACCGGAGAATGTTCCTGAAATCAACCGTTCAGTGTGTCAGTTCCATTTGTGATCCACTTTATTCGGATCGTGCAACGTCCTCGACTTCTGAATTCGACCGACATTCACCAAAATGAGAATGGCACAGCACCAAAACCGAGCATCTACTAGACATTTGACATGATGATTCACCCCGTCATTTTCCAGACGAATTTGTCTTGCTACTCAAACGTCTCATTTGTGACGATCAGACCGAAAACAGCAGACACTAACTTTTGACGCTTCGCCGAAAACCAGGATAAATTTTGCAGAAAAAAGTAACGGTTGTAAACTTGTACCTTCTAACAATACACCACAGGAAAACATCGTGGAATAAATTGAGACTGTGGGTTGCTTGAGTCATTTTTCCGTCATATGAATTTCGTTTGAATAAATGGCCGAGATTTCAGTGGAGAGTTATAAGGATGTTCCGTGGTTAAATATAGATAAAAACTGATTTCTCAGTCGGTATACGAGGTCTTCAATCAAAAGTGATGTTTCGGTTACCTAAGAAGCATGCAGCGAGTGCATTCGGAATCACCTCAAGAGAAGCGTGAGACTGTTTTTGTAAATGCTTGGAACACTAGAGTCTTAATTGTCCTTAATTTTTAGATAACTTCCGTAAACTAGAAAACGTTGGCATATCAAACAAAGGTAAATTTCAGCGACCACTTCTATTTGGATAGCGATTTTCTAAAGTCCAGAAGGCGGATGCTCAACTAGAGTTTAATTATAGTAAATTAACACCGCCGAGAAATTGACCAAACTTTCATCCACACAGGCTTTATTCCGTTATCTCATTCTCTGACATGACCAATCGTCATTAAATGGACCGAGTCGTGGATCGGAATAGTCATCTGTCTCAATCAACATCGCATTTTAATTATTGCAAACCACAGAGTTGATCGATTTGCCGCTGTGTTGGTTAATTAGATTAACCGTGGTAAGAAAAGAAAGCTGGTCGAGTAGCAACTTGTCCGTTGTCCATTGTATCAAAAAGCCTTACCACCGTAGACTGAAGAAAGGCACATCTTCGGCATGAGTTAAGGCATATTTCTGGTTGGAGTATGTCTAGTTTAGAGTATAACTACTAGCCAATAAGTATTGTGATACGCGCTAGTGATGATTTTTAGTAGGGGCGAAACAGAGATACAATGCTTTCTTCAGAATAGATTGGCATTACCGGTGGGACGATTCTCAGATGATAAAAACACCGCACATACCAGTGGATGGAACTCAAGTCTATACAAGCTTCCCACTTTCATCTACAGGCACACACCTCCGCACGCGACCGCGTTTCCAAAAGCTTACGAGTCGTTTGCCACCTGCCATCGGACGAATGCAGCTCAATTAATGGTAGAGCTCAGCCAAGGTACACTGCTCAATGCTAACTTGAAGGACAGACTTCCAATCCGTGATTCGTCGGTGGCGATTTATTTATTTGTCTTTCAATATTAAAAAACTATGGTAATTGCAAGATCAACGCTTATTGGAAAGAGTTCGCAAGCAGAAACGCTAGCCAGGCAAGTGACCAGTGCGATCGCCGCTCACTTGTTCACTATCAACAATCAGACCGATCCGGCGGAAGATTTTAGTGCAATTTACCGGTTTCTGGCTAGGCCCCCGAGGGCTTTGCGCCAAAGAGTACCGGAAATAACCAAGGCGGCTACTGTTCAGTCACTTGATCACTCCCTGTGTTACCGGAAATGGCACGCGCAAGCCATATGATTGTCTTGGTCTACCAGTCACGGTCCGCAACATATGAACTAATCATGTATTGTCCTTTTTTGGAAGATAGGGTGAAACTCCCGGCGTCTTTAGGATTCCTTCTTATATTCCACAGACACAGAGGGATTTTCTACAAAATAATGGATACGATAAGTGATGTTAGAATACCATAAGAGCTCTCTTAGAGCGGACTGCTTGGAAATGGACTCTGTCCCTTCTAATTGACCTCCAAAAACAATGTTTTTCTCAGTTGCAGGCGCTTAATACTAATAGAGAATGGCTTCAACTGATCTTTCAAGCAGACTTCCATGGTTTACTCACCTTTGAAACATCATAATCTGCATGAAGACTTATGCTCAAAATCAATTTACGTGAGAAGATAAAATAGTTTGGGAGAGGTACTTTGCCGCATCATCATGTGACCAACTGCTGGCGCCATAGGTGCTCTTTTTGAAGTTCTGTTGATACCTGACTGGGTGACTGCTTTTTACGATTATTATTCATACATTTCACAGACACGGGCTTCGTAGCCTGTAATCGATATGCTTGTTCAGATGGTGAAAATTACATACTATATGAATTAATTAAATCTGAATCGAACGTTCCGGTTAACAACGGCCAAAACACTGAGCGACTGTGTCTAGTAGTACTAGTCTGAAACGGTCAGAGCGGTAAGGGGTCTGTTGCTGCACGCAAGCTTTCAATCTCAGTAGGGACCGAAGGGAATAGGACCGGCAAGAAAACGTGCAAGAGCTTGATGCAACCCATCAGGTGTTCACACACGATGATGTAACAATGAACAGTGGCACCAATTACCCATAAACTACGTCATCTGTCGGTTCCTCAAAGTTTCAGTGTATTATCGCAGCTTCCGATGATAGTACCACACAAGCGTTATGGGAAGCCACCAATTAACATGCCATCTAGTCGTTACAGAACAGTTTGACAGTATTCGACCCACGCTGCGGTTATCGATGTTGTCATTCATAGGGTGAAAATGTCTGGAGGTATACATTATAAAAGAGAACAAAATTATCTTGTCTCTAGAGGGCTACGTTTTTCATGTGGGCCAACGTGTACTCTGGTGAGCAATTAGGTGAGCGTCAGACTGTATTCAACCCCAACAGCATTCGCCGTAAGAAAAACTATGAAGTCATTCAACTTGGCCCAAAGAATATTGCAAACACTGCAAGTGAAACCGACCAAGAACCCGAACATAGCGTTTCACTGCCCTACGGTAGTGAAGATAGTGCAACAGTACAACTCACTGCTCATCTACGGTTAGTGGTTGCTAATAAAAAGCAAGCGTGTTATAAATATTTATATTTAATCCAAAGCGAGACACCACTAGACCGAACGCCTTGGTTCTACTCCAGAATGGGGAATTAAGAAGCAGCCGTCTGTAATCAACAATATGTAGATCTTGGAATCGCGTAACGAAAACACCTTGAATCGAACAGATAAATGAATCGTTATATAAGCTTCTCAATAGTAGAACGCCCGTGCTCAGGTATTTGTTAGTCAGGGATAAAGTAGGCTGGGGCGAGAATACCGTCCTACTTCTCCTGAGTATGAATTTTAAAATCGTCTGAGGTAGTTCTGCAGGTCGAAGCCCGGGGATTCATCATAGTATGAAAAGCTTTGTTAAGGTTGATAAGACGAACATTCACAGGACGATCTACATTTCATCTATGGAGACTGAGTCGAAGAATTTCGGGAAAGTCACAGAAGATCCACACAGCAGATATTCCTTCCACGGGATTTTTCTTGCAGAAGAAATGAGTCTATCGCACTTTGGCCGCCCCAAAGTGCACATTGATTCCAAGATACATGTTTTTCAGAATGTCACCGGCGTATCCGACGGACAGAATATCCATTGTCTTCTTGTCTACTGAGCATGGAATACTGATTACGAAACAATTTCCGTCTTTCCTTCATTTTTTTCCATTTACAGAAGGAATTATCAATTTCTCCTATAAATCCTGCTGAAAGTCCTCCGTAGTGTCGGTTCTTTCAGTTTCAGTAGTTCTGCAGTAAAGCCCTTCAATCCAGTTGCTCCTCTAGCGTGAGCTGTTGGCAATTCTTTGGCTGTAGGCAATTCAGCAAAGCATGCATATAATATCTGTTGGGGGAACTAAAATATACTGCACATATCAGCAACTCCTGGCATTTTTTCAACGGTTTTAAAATGTGAGGTTCGCAGATGAGTTCATCGGGATTGTTTAGTTCTTAACAGTTTCTTTGCCTTTTGTAAGCTGTGGATAATGGACCTTCGTTACATAGATTCCTTTCAGTCTGGTGAAAAGTACTTTGTAACAATAATGATCTGCCTTCAACCGAAGCTGTCCAATTGTTTTAAGCCACCGCTTATTCTTTGTTTTGAATAGTTGGTTCTCTTAAATCATAGTGGACTTTAGTGAAACATGTTCACTGAACTACTGTCACAATCGTTCTTGATTTAATCCAGATATTTCCATAGATGTGTTCCGATTTCGGCCTATCGGCTTTCTGGGACTTGTTCATCCATTAATATTTGTACAGCTTTCGGAGACTTCGATGATGTTTCCCTATGATGTGACCTACTTACAACCAGTCTAAATGAGTTTTCCGGATCCGCTACGTATAAATATCGTAATAAAAAGCGTAATTTAGCAAGAATCAAGAAGTAGCCAGTATCGCAGACACCTGTACGCATCATTTTTGTGACCAGTACTTTACGAGGATCTCTTTATCTTACAACTATCCTTCTATATACTTATAAGTAGTCCATGTTTTTTTAAAAGAATACTGATTTGCATGTTTGCAGCTTGAGTAACATTAAAATGGAAGTATTGCACTCCACTCTCTGAAGGTTCTCTTTCTTTAAAGACACCGTATAAATCCAAATGTTTTAAACGCACCAAAGACATGTCTTTAAATTTGTTTAAACCTTTTGCGTCTGTTTTGTAATATTAGCAAGGTTGGTTTAGAGTTGAAAAATGGCTTATTGGTTATATGGGTAGACTTTACTTAATCGTCCAAGTCTAAAACAACAACGTGTCCGGTGGAGTGCAATATTTTTAATGCGTAAATTTACGATTTCACATCACATTATTTTATCCCGCCAGTATATTATGACTTTTAAATCGTATTGTAAATGTCCACTAGTTGACATTCCTTTATTTTCATAGACATTGTAGAAAGAACAGAGTATGCTTAGAAATGCGTTGGTTTTTGTAAGAAAAAGTAGTAGTGTTATTCACAAGTTTGGAGATTTTCACGCAGAGATGACTTTATTTTCCAAGGCATTTTGCTTAGTTCTGCCAAGCAGTTACAAATAACTATGTGAAAGACACTTTGTGCATGATTACTTGTAGTGACAAGCAGCGCCAAGTGAACATACAAAAACTGACACAAGATCCTGTATCATATTTTTACTGCCGCCAATTCCATGATTTATGATGCAGATATTTCACTCCCGCCTTACCCAAAAAACTCATTTGACATGCAGAGTTCCTTCCGGGTACTGCTGTGCAGCGATCGTGTGGACAATGATTAATGTTTGCTCTGAGTTTAATCATCAGTACCCCTGGTTCCGGTGACCTGGATCTGAAAGGTAATAAGTTTTAGCGTTTGATGGCAATCTCTCACCCGGTGTGCATTTTAACTAAATTCCACTCTGTCTGAGAGTAACATTCAATTGGTGAGAATAAGCGATATTTTGGACTTTTGACTGCTCCCAGGCAATGCTTTTTTTATAATGGTCATCAAAATTCTTTTGCTGACAAGCGTTTGTCTATGATTTTAGTGGCATCAGTGTAAGTCAACGTTTTGACTTGATAAAAAGTCACATGGGCTTTGCTTTTAAATGGCCATACAAATCCTCAAAGAGTAATTAAAAATTATTCAAGCGTAGCTCATTTAAATGATGTGAACTTTGTTCGATGACATTGGTCGGATTCTAACTGCAATGTTTCATTAATCGATTCCGATAGCAGTGTGGAAAAAATCACTTCCTGTTGAAAACAGACGTATATCACTCCGTCATGAATAAGACCCTCGAGGATTGCAAGAATTCATACCATTGGAAAGGGATAGTATTATGGATTTTTTTCACAGTTATGTTAAACAACCGGCAGCTTAAATTGAACTTTTCTCTGCGCATGACATGTTTACTTCAAACTTTTATCACGTACCTTGGTAGATGGTGCGCTCACCTTATGGACCTGTACACTGTGGGCTAGCTACTCTCATCCAAATCACCAAGAACGAGCGACCACTTGAGTGATCAATTTGATAAGAGTACGAACGAATATACAAGTAAATGTTTATGCTCAGTGCTCCCTTCGAAAAGCTCACACGCTTGGAGCCGGAAAAAATGTATGATATCCTGTGATCTCTCCGCAGACCTTAAGTTGATAACAATCAAGTTAATAGCATAGGTGGTTCTACTAGTTCACTCGAAAAAAGAGTATACTATTAGTTGCAATCAAATAAAAAATGTTTTAACTTTCGGGGAGTTAGTTGTTGCACTGATCACAGTCGACCTCGGATAACTGGTAAACGAACAAGAAACGACTCCCAAAAGCAGTCCACGGAAGTTGTCACTTGACTAAATGTCACTTCTGGCGCGATGGTTTCCCCTGTTATTTAAGGTACCTTCTGATACCAGATATTCCCAAATTTTAATGCTAAACGGCATTATTTATGCGTTTGAAAATCATGGACACCTAGTCTCACTGATATCAGAACTGCCGGCTTTAAAACTACCTTCAATATTTATTAGTAACAAAAATCCACGGGTCATGGCCACTGTTGAGATGGAAAGTTCAAAGATTTTGTTGCACAAGCTTTCGACATTCAGTTAGAAATGGGATCATTGGCTTCATTATATGCCCCCTAACTCTAAATGTGCCAGTTCATCTGTAGTGGTAGTGTTTTGTCAAACAACACCGTGAAGTATGGACAAATTGAACTGGTATAAGGACTCGATTGGAGCCCACGAGAAGACATAATTGCATGAGCCCCATCATGATGTTCCGATGTACAAATTTATTAGTAGTAATGGATGTGTACGAATTCCAGCAAAGTAACTGGAATGAGCAGTTAAATGCCCATTGCCTGGTTCTACTTTAATCAACCCCACATTTTATTTATACAATACTGACCGAAGCCTAGCAACTACTTTTCCGCCAGACTCCAACCTGAAAGCCTCCCTGTTTTCTGAGACTATCTCTGTTGATGCACACAATTTGTGATCGAGTCATTTCACTCTGCTTTTCGAAGCACACTCTCTATGGGATACCCTTTTCAGGAAACGAACATGTCGATTGGTGGGTGTTGTTAGTAGGAATGACATCATAAAAATCCCAACTGCCTTATAGTCAAGCAGACATTTGATAATTGTGATAGCATTTACCATGAATGTCACACATTAGCAGAGCTCCACTGACCAATTTTTAACGAACAGAAAGAGGACAAAAATTGAATGAGGTACTTGTACCCGAGAATGATGGGTACCTATTGTTCTATTTAGAAAAAACATGCTATTTGAAACAAGTGAAGAAGAATGAGAAAAAGAGGAAAGCCTTTTGAGATTATTTGCTGTTTTTTGCCTTTCTGATACTAGAGGATCGTGATTATTGCCCTGTTTGAAAGTACACCTCTCATGTGCGATATGTACATGCTCTCAAGACATCATATTTTTGTGGTTTATCTATATATATATTTTCCGGACAGCTCAATGCTTAATGTTCCTCAAGGCAAGGAATGTTGAGAGAGTGATTTGCATACATTTGCAATTAGACGGCAAATATTCTTGTGAAGTCAACATGGTTAGACAGTTTCTAAAATCCACATCGCTGAGAAGCCCTAGTTTCAATTGCCCCGTCAGAATATATTGGCAAAAGTTTAAAGCTGTGTGATGCGCTTTATCCTCAGCGTAAAGACAACGAAAAAACATTGAAAACTGTGTGAAATAAAACTTGGTTTACTGGCCTTTTGGGACTGTTAGAAAGAATGAAGGTTTTTGCGAATGCTTTGTTATTCCTTTATTCAACCATTTCGGACCAGTACCGACTCTTTTTGATCGTTTTACACAGGCCCATTGTGTCAAAACTTGTTGCGTTCGCCCCCCCCCAACGACACTGAATGCAACTGAATCGGTGAAGTTCCAGTCAAGTCGGTTCATTCAAACTTTACGGTTGAAATTTCAGGTTCCTAAGTTTCATGCTCGTGCCTGACAGGCAAAAGTTTGCAAAGTAAAACGTACGACATTTTTGGATCTGCCTGCTGATGTTGT